CGCACCTTAGTCTCCAGAGAGACACCATTGCTCTTCAGTACTTTGGAGAGGTCCCTAACAGCAGACTTTCCCATGGCAATGCGCCTTTTCATTTCCTGGCATATAGTTTGTTATTTATTCTGCTCAGTGAGGTGGTTTGGCACAGTGACTATAAAGTGTGTTAATTATTCTCCTTTCAGTTGGATGCACAACCCACTAGGCCACAAGAACTCCCTGAAGATATGCTTGGGTATAGAGTTTTTGTATCATTAATGATATTATTAATAATTTCTATGTTCTTTTGGATACCTGTCTTGGAAATTGGAACAAATACAAACCTCTTCCAGTAGGTTGACCAGGTGGTGGCTGTCTTCTAAATTTCTTGGCATAGGTTAGTGAGCATGCTGAGGGCTGCATATTACATTGTTTGGAATTTTTTTGAAATGTCTTTTTTTAAACTTTATATTGGTTTGCATACAAAGTTTGTATACATTGTATTTAAATTATATTTAATTCATGTACATTGTGCTTCACACATTCCTTCATTCACATTGTTTCATATGATAATTGCCATACATTGTGTTTTATTAATTAATCACCATTGCTCTTTGCCTACTCTTATACCTCAGCTTTTCAGGCCCCCACTGGATCTTTCCTAATTCCTTCACCTCTTCCCTCTGCCCATCACATTCTATGACTCCAGGATTTCTCCCCTTCTCACCCACAGGCCCCCTTTCCTCTCCTTTTACATGATGGAATACTATGCAGCACTCAGTAGCTACAATTTCTAAAAATACTACATAGAAAAGGCTAAAGAGCATTATGCTGAGTATGCTAACTTTGTCTTATAAGGACAAATACTGCATCTGTTTGTTGAAACATTAATTGATATTCCATCAATTCCTGGGGCACTTCCCCCCATGCCTTCTCTGTTGCTTATACATCTTCCTTCATTACCATGGATACTGTCTATTTAACCATTGATTCTTGATTGGATGCTGCTTCCTGAAATGGTTCTGTGCCTACCTTTTTTTTAATATATGTATAGTGATTCTGTTTATTCCTTTCATTTTCTTTTGATGCTTCCTTCATCATTCAAGACTTCGTCTATAGAATCCCTCAGTATTGCAACCCAAAGCTTCAGTTTGTTCTTCTGTTATTTGAGCTTGAGAAATATGTGCTCATCCCTTTTAGTTATCTAACTCTGGCTCTTTGTACATTGCATAATAATACTTTGTTTTGTCTTCTTGAGCTGCCCTTCAGAATCTTCTGTGCAGCTCTCTTCAGGATTTCTTCCCTTTGTTTTGACATCTCTATGTTCTAGCACAAGTTTTAGAGTCTCTTCTGACATCCAGTTTGGTTTTTTCCTTCTTTCTGGTCTTGGAAATGCTCTTTGCTTTTTTCATGGATGATGTGCTTAATGTTATCCAACAACTCCACTGGCTTTCTGTTATTAGTGCTCAATGCATCAAATCTGCCCTTGAGATTTTTTTTTTTTTTTAATTCAGTTGGGATAGACTCAGTTTGTATTTTGGTTCTTGTGGAAGTGTTTTCATTTTCTTTAACTTCACCTTGAATTTGCTCATGTAAGTAATTTATGATCTCTTCCGTACTTAGCCCCTAGTCTTGTTTTGACTGCTGCTACTGAGCTTCTGCATAGACTATTTCCGTAGATGTAATCAATCTGATTCCTGTGAGGAATATACAGTCTAGCATCTTTAATTTTCTTAGACTTTCCTGTCACTGTTTATATATATATATATATATGTATGTCATTGTTGTTATGTGCTGTCAAGTTGCCTGCAGCTCACAGTGACCCTATGTACAATAGTTCTGAACCCTGGTCTGTCTATCTTGAGCCAATCTCACTGTCTCTGACACACCTACTCTCATTACCCCAGTTACTGTGTCAGTCCATCTCCTCCAGCATCTTTCAGTCTTATCCTGTCCCTTCATCCTTCCAAGCTTGATGTTCTCTTCCAAGGATTGATCCCTCCTGGCAACATACCCAAAGTATGCCACAGGGAGCTTCAATATCCTTGCCTCCAAGGAGAAGCTTGGTTTCACCTTCTCCAAGACAGACCTGTTTGTTCTCTTGGCAGTCCATGGTATGTTCAGTACTCTTTTTCAGCACCACAACTCAAAGGCATTGATTCTTCTCCTGTCATCCATAGTCATTGTCCAGCTCTCTGATGTGTAGCAAGTAATTGAGAAGACCATGACCTAGACCAGGCACACCTTAGTCAATAAACTGACATAGAGGTCCCTGATGCAATTAATCTTTTGATTTCCTGACTGTTGGTACCAAAAGTTTTGGTTGTAGAACTGAAAAAGCTGAAATAATTAACAATCTCAATCTCTTCTCCATCTGTCATGGTGCTGCAAGTTGGGCTAGTTGTGAGAATCTTTGTCTTCTTAATGTTGAGTGTCAATCCATATTCAAGACGTCAGTCCTTGACCTTCTGCAACAAATGCTTCAGATCCTCCTCAGCTTTGGCTAGCAAGGTTGTATCATTTGCATAATGCAGGTTGTTGCTTGAAAGTGAGAGAGTCAGAAGTAGTGGCCTCAGAGAAGCACTGTTCCTTGTAAAAAGAGGAAAAAAAAATAACCCTTTTTATGAAAAGGGTTTACTTTATTCTTTTTATACTCAGTGCTTGTAGTGGGTTTAATTTCCCTCCCTCTGTTCCTCAGTGTGTTGGAATCCTAACTCCTGTTCCTGTGGATATAATCCCACTTGGGAATAGGCCCTTCCTGTTACACCAATTATATCATCTCACTGTAGGACATATACTAAAGCTAATCTCTTCTGAGCGATATAAAGAGCTGTACAGAGAGGGCCAAAGAAAAACCAAGCACAAACAAGGGAAAAATAAATATCTCCTGGGAATTGTCAAGGAACTGAGGAAAAGTGAGACTACAGAACCTAAAATGAGAATTTCCACCAGAATTCTCTTTCCCTGGGACTGGTGTCCTGAATTCAGAAATCTAACCTCTAAAAATGCAAGAAAATAAATTTCCATTTCTTCAAGGCGCCTACTTGCACTGTTTCCTAAGAAACCAAGAGTTGGACATTTTGTATTGCTCTCCCATGTTCTCTGTAGTCTCCTAGCATTTTCCCCTGTCTCTGTTCCCTTACGATTGTAGTGGTGATGGTGACAGGACCCTGAACGTCTCTGTTGAAATGTGTTTTTTATTCCCTCGCTTCTGGGAATTTTGTATCTTATAGTATCTCCTGGTAATGATACAGAGATAGATTGTCTGTACTTTTTGTTGTTAGGTTTTATTTATTTATTTATTTATTTATTTACTGGTGATATTTGGTGACTTCTAAACAAAGGCCAATTGAAACTCTTATAAACTTCCTTTTAAAAAGAAATTTTCTTTAGATGAAATTTCACACAGCAAATCTTATGTACATTGTTCCATGACATTGGTTATATTTTTAAAAAATATGTTGAAATTCTCATTTCCATTCTGTTTTGTGTTCTGTTTCCATTAATCTAGCTAGTTTCACCACCTTCCACTACTCCCCTCATATTATAATTTTTGTTTTGGGGAGCTATTGATCCTTCGTTTTCATATAGTTAATTGTTTAAAGAAGCACATTACTCACAGGCAATATTGTTTATCTTAAAAATTATTTGACTGAAATGTGACCTGCAGAAATAACTTCACCTCCAAGTTTAAAGAGTATCTTAAATTAATGGTCTCAAGGAATCTGCTAATCTCTAGTGGTCCAGTAGATTTAGACTGGTTTTGTGTGTGTGTTTTTTTTTTTTAAATTTGAGTCTGTTCTATATTTTTCTTCTAGCTTAAGTGCCATTTAAAATTATTAAAAGTATAAATGTGGATAGTTGTAGAGGGGCTTCAGGCCTTTTGTTCATAGGGTCTCTATGAGTCGAGCTCTACTTGAAGGTAGTCAACAACAACATCCCACTCTGTGGTCATTCTCTGTATTAACTGGAGAACTTATTGTCCATACTATTGTTTACTTTACTATCACGGGTCCCCTAATGATTTTATATTTCATAGTATATATTTTTGTTTTCTCTGCTAACTTATTTGTAAATTTACTGGATATAAGAATTTTTTAAAAAAATTCATACTACTGCTGTGCTTTATATTTTCTAGCTGCTCATAAAATATTTGTGAACTGTATTAATCTAGTTATGTTCTTTTCCTCCCAAAGTCATAATTTATTTATTTACATTGTAGATGCTGAAATCTGCTTTTAAAAGATCTGAGGATAAAAAACTGGAAGTACCGGAGGCAGCAGTGCCAAATTTGGTACCATTTGGGGATGTGGTAAGATTGATTAACCCTCACGGAAATATAAACAGATTAGTTTTTTAAAATTTATTTTATTTTGGATTTTTAACTTATACTAACCCAGTTAAGATGATTTTTTTCCTATATAAAGGTCTTTTTATTTTAAAATGATTTTTTTAATTATTAAAAATAATGATACAAGAGCAGTATGAAATGGTTGGAGGTCTTGTTCTGCACCATCCATGGAACAAGGTCATAGACATTTCAGACAATTGGAAGAAATGAAAGAAAAGAAAAAAGATGAAATTATTTTGTTATTAAGATATTTTTAATATTTTTAAAGTAATTTTGAAAATATGTTCCTTTTTGTTCTTATGTGAAGAATGGTTTATAATTAGTAATGTAAAGAATGTGCAGAAAGTGGTCCTTTTAATATTTTCATGGATTGTTCATGATTCAGCCACTCTCTCTCTCTGAAAATTTTAGTTTATTCTGTTGTATGTACCACCAAGTCAGAACTGACTCATAGCTGACCTGCTAGCAGGAGTTGAGGCAGTAAATTGCATGGGAGGGAGGTGCTCATCTTTTTCCCATGAAGAAGCTGATGGATTCAAGCACAACCCTTTGGGTTGGTAATGCAATTCCTTACCACTAAGCTACCAAAAGTTATTGTAATAATTATGAAAATTATGGAAAAACATCCTGGTTCATAGAATGTTTTCTATATGAAAAATTCCAAAATTCTATCACTATTACCCAGAAAATGTTTTTGAAAAATATTTATTCCTTGGTTTCTCCCTAATCTCTGCTAAGTTAGAATCTCTGAGCGGATATCCTGGGTGTCAGTATTTTTATTGAGTTCTTCAAGTTATTGTATCCATTGTCACATTTAGGAACTATGAGCTACAGTTTGATAACATATTTCTTTTCTTTTTATTAAAATCAGTTGGATAACTGATTTTTTTAAAAACTCAGTCTCATAAGAACAAATATTGCATAAGACCATTACTGTAGGAATAAAAAGATAACTAGTAAAATGTGTATGAGGATTTGAGAGAGGAGGTTGGGAGCAGAGGATGGGAGGGGAGGGGGGAAATCATTGGTATCCACAATTTGGTGGGGGTGGGGGTCGCAAAGGAAGTGGGAAATATCCGGTGAGGATCTGGAAAGACAGGATAATGATGGGCGTAGTTCAATGTTGATTAATTTTATAAAATACAGTGAATGGGAATGCTTTTATGAAACACAATGTGAATGAAGGATCATGTGAAGCAAAATATATGTGAACTTTGTAGGGAAACCAATGTATAATAAAATATATTACTTTTATTTATAAAATAAAAATCACTGCATATACATATACTCAGAGAGAAAGAGAGATAAATAAATGTGCTCATCACACACACACACACACACACACACACACACACACACACAGAGATAGGACCTAATCTAGTACTCAACTTTAGGTTGTTGTTATGTGACATTGAGTCGCTTGCAACTCATAGCGACCCTGTATACAACAGCCCTAAACCCTGCTCTGTCCTGTGCCAATCTCACTGTCTCTGACACACCCACCTCAACTACCCAAGTCACTGAATCAATCCACCTCATAGAGGGTCTTCCCCTACTGTGCTGTCCCTCCACCCTCCCTAGCATGATGTCCCTTTCCAAGGACTGATCCCTCTTTGCAACATGTCCAAAGTATGTCAGACAAAGCTTCAGAATCCTTGCCTCCAAGGAGCAGCCTAGTTTAACCTTCTCCAAGTTTAGGTTGAGTACTAGAAAAATCTATTGTTCTATTTTGGGTTCTTCAGGGTATAGAACATAATTATCTAAATACATTTAGAATTATCTAATAAATGCATTCTTTTACAGTTACTTCAATATTTTGAACACTGCAATAATAGTTAATAGATATTAAAAAATAAGCTTTTTCACCATTATCTGACATAAATGAATCTGTTTTCTTGATGTATCATAAATTTAACACAAATTTTATAGGAAAGGAGAGAAAGACTATCATCATACACATGTCATTCTTAACAAAATTAGGTGGAAATTATCTAATGATATGACTAATATCACACACGCGCAAGATCCTGCTAAAGACTGTCCAGAAATTACTTGAACAGTACAGCAGCAGAGAACAGCAAGCTGTGCAAGCCGGGTTTAGAAGAGGTCATGGTACGAGACACATTATAGCCAACATTAGGTGGATCTTGGCTGAAAGCAGAGAGTATCAGAGGAATGTCTGTGTTTCATTGACTATGCAAAGGCATTTGACTGTATGGATCACAAAAAATTGTGGCTAACCCTGAGAAGAATCAGGATCCCAGAATACTTGATTGTGCTCTTGTGAAAACTATACTTGGACCAGGAAGCAATAGTCAGAACAGAACAGGGAAACATGCATGGTTCAGGACCAGGAAAGGGGTGCGTCAAAGATGCATTTTATCTCCATACCTTTTCAATCTATATGCAGTAGAGGTCATCTGGGAGGCTGGACTCTATGAAGAGGAATGTGAGATCAGGATTGGAGGAAGACTCATCAAAAGCCTGCATTATGCAGATGACACAACCTTGCTTGCTGAAACTGAAGAGGACATGAAGCATTTGCTGCAGAAGGTCAAGCACTATAGTCTTCCATATGGATTGAAGTGCAGCATCAAGAAAATAAAGATTCTCACCACTGGGCCTATTGGCAGCTTCATGATAAATGAAGAAGAAATTGAGTTGTTGATAACTTCAGTTTGTTTGGTTCCACAATCAACACTCTTGGCGCCAATAGTCAGGAAATCAGAAGATGAATTGCAGTGGGAAAGTCTTCTGTCAGAGACCTCCCTTAGAACACTGAAGTATTCTTAGAATACTGAAGAGCAATGCTGTCAGTCTGGAGACTAAGGTGTGCCTGACACAGGCCATGGTCTTCACAATTACTTGCTATACATCTGAGAGCTGAACAATTACTTAAAGTTCATAGAAGAAGGATCGATGCCTTTGAGTTGTGATGCTGGAGAAGAGTGTTGAACATACTATGGACAAAAAGATCAATCCTGGAGAAGATAAAACCAGGCTGTTCCCTGGAGGCAAGGATTTTGAAGCCCCATTTCACATGCTTTGGGCATGTGGCCAGGTGGGACCAGACCTTGGAGAGGGACATCATGCTTGGAAGAGTAGAAGCATAGAGCAGGAGAGGAAGACCCTGGATGAGATGGATTAACTCAGTGACTGGAGAAATGGGATTAGATCTATTGGAAACAATGCGACTGGCTCAGGATAGGGCAGATTTCAGAGCTAGTGTACATAGGGTCTCTGTGAGTCATAGGTGACTCAGTGGCATATAACAACAACAGCAATGCATTTATTGATGTATTATAATAAAGCTTCATTCTCTATGTTATAATCAGAGTTGGAGTATAAACCTTTGTCATGGATTGAATTACATTTCTCTAAAATATGTATCAACTTGGCTAGACCATGACTCTCAGTATTGTGTGATTATCTTCCACTTTGTCATGTGTTGTAAATCCAATCCAATCTCTTCCTGATCAGGTTATTTAAAAGGTGACTGAATTCTGTTTCTATGTTAATGAGGTAGGATCAGAATGGGATGGATCACCCTTACTTAAGTCACCCCGGTTAGTAAGGTCATAACCGTGATCTAATGAAAGGGAAGTTTTCCTCAGATGTGGCCTGCATCATTATTTATCTTACAGAACATAAAAGATGAGAGAAATGAGCAGAGCAGATGATTTGTTACCACTGAGAAAAAGCCAAGAGCAGAACATACCTGGAGTCCTTGTGCTTTGAACCATTTAGAGCACGAAACATGGAGATTTCTAAGGAACACAAGGCCTAAAGTTGTTGAATGGAGAAAAACACTCCCCCAGAGCTAACAGAGACTTCCCCTAGAGCTTGTGCTTTTGAATGTGGACTTCTAGCCTCTTAACTGTTTGTTAAAGCCATTCACTTGTCATATTTCAGTTATGCCCGCTTTTGAGAATGGGAAAAGCTGCTAATTTTGAATGGGGCCCACAGTATGCAAAGGCTCAGATTTCTGTGCAAGCCAGTCTGCTACTTGGTCTTATGATCTTCCTGATCCAGTAGTGTTTAAGCTGCACACTTTTTAAATTGCACACACACACACACACACTGCTACTTGGTCTTATGATCTTCCTGATCCAGTAGTGTTTAAGCTGCACACTTTTTAAATTGACGACTGTGCTTAGAAACACGTTTGCCATCATTTGTGGCAACATGTTAAAGTCTTAGTGGTAAATAGAGATGCTGGTTGAGTCTTTGAGAGGTCCTTATTGGTGAATCACGTTGCAGACAGAATTTTGGAGCAAAGCTCTGACATCTTTTGAAGAGAACAACTCTCCTTTTGAGACAGCATTTAGCTTATTACTGAGGCTACTCTTTGGAGGCAAGGATTCTGAAGCTTCGTCTGACATACTTTGGACATGTTGGAAGGAGGGACCAGTCCTTGGAGAGGGACATCATGCTTGGGAGGGTGGAGGGATAGCACAAGAGAGGAAGATCCTTGATGAGGTGGATTGATTCGGTCCCTTTGGTAATGGGGATAGGCGTGTTGGAGACAATAAGATTGGCACAGGATAGAGCAGGGCTTAGGGATGTTGTACATGGGGTCGCTATTAGTCACAGGCAACTCGACAGCATATAACAACTATGACAATAGTGGGTCACCAATTCACTATTGCAGCTTGATCTACTTGTTGTGAACTGAGAGTTGTCTGACCACCAGAATGATAAATTCAGACTTGCACAGTGTGTACAATATTAGACTTGCATAGTGTGTACATTATTGCAGTTGAGCAGGACCTAAAAACAAAAGTCACATAGGCAAGTGACCAAAATGTCCATGGTATCTGCTGCTAATCACATTACCTTCCTTGTTCCAGTCTGCACCTATGGTCTCATGGTAGAATAGATGACAGAAGAAAACATGACTGGTTTACAGATGGTTCAGTGCAACATGCAGACACCATTCAGAAGTAGACAGCCCAGCAGCAACTTTCTGGGGCATTGCTGAAAGACCATGATGAAGAGCAACCCCCCCCTGGTGGACAGGGCAGAACTTTGAATAGTATACCTGGTTGGTTTTGTTTGTTTGTTTGTTTTGTTTTTTACCTAAAAGGAGAAATGGACAATTGTGTAATTATATTAATGGATCAGTAATTTGACTGGATGATCAAGGACTTGGAAAGAACATGATTGAAAAGTTAGTGGCAAAGAGATATGGGGTGCAGATGCACAGAAATCTTTGAATGGGCCAGATGAAGATATTTGTGTTTTAGGGAAAAGCACCCCAAAGTGTGATAGCAGCAGGAAGAGGATGTTGACAGATAAGTGGACAGGGTGACACACTTTTTATCCAGGTATTCTTTCCATTGCCTAATGGACTCATGAACAAACTGACCATTATAACAAGGAAGGAGGTTACGTATGGGATCAGCAGACTTTAACTGATGACTGTCCACGTCTTCTAGCAGCTGAGCCTAAAACTGAGTCTTCAGTGGGGCACCATTGCTGGAGTAATCAGCTAGCAGCTGGTGGCAGGTTGATGTACTGGACCAGTTCCATCTTGAAGAGTGCAGCATTTTGTTCTTACTGGAATAAATACTTGCTTTGGATATGTATTTTCCTTCCCTGCACATCATCAAAATTACCATCTATGGATTTACAGAATGTTGTCTGCCATCATGTAGACACACCACATCACATCAGATCAAGGAACTCATCCACAGCAAATGAGGTATGGCAGTGAGCCCATGCATATGGAACTTACTGGTCTTACCATGTTCACCATCATCCTGAAGCAACCAGTTTAGTAGCATGATGAAATGGCCTTCTTTTTTATTTTTTATTTTATTATTTTTGTGTGCGTGTACCATCAAATGAGATCTGACTGGTACAGGAGGAGATTGTCCCTCCTTCCCCGGCAGAGCATCTGGTAGATTCGAACCGTGCACCTCTGGGATTGTAGTTGCAGCTTCTTGCCACTAGGCCACCAGAGTTCCCCTTGAAATGGCCTTCTAAAGACATATTACAGTGTCAGCTGGGTGGGGATACCTTGTAGGTTTGAAGCAGTGTCCTTTAGGAGGCTACACATTTTCGGAGAGTTCTGGTGGCCTATTGTTAAAAACCTTAGCAGCAATCCTGAAGACACAGGGTACAAATCCACCAGCTGTTCCATGGGAGAGAAGCCTGGGCTATCTCTTCCTGTACGATTAACTGCCTCTGAAAACCCACCAGAGGGTCAGCTATTGTTCTGACTCAACAGAATTCAACAACACAACAGCAACATATGCATGCTATGTACCAGCAACCGATTAATATATAATATTATTTATAACAAAGCCAAGATTCATCGTTGTGGGACTTAAAGGGTACATATGAGAGTAATAGGACTCGTTATTACTCTCAATTACCCATTTGTTTCATTTTTGCTTTCTGTCCTCATAACTATGTTCTCCTGGTCTCACTCATTCACGACCATAGAGCAAATTGTGGCTCATAACAATTGTCTGTTGAGTTTCTGAGTCTCTGTGACTGTGTGAAGCATTTCCTCATGAACTTTATCTACCATTCAGCTGTTAGTTTATAGTACTATAGTGATTGTGTCTTAATGACTATACAAATGCATTCAACTGTGTGGATAACAATTATTGATCAGTAATATTGCAAAAAACAGGAATCCCCAAACGCTTTATTGTGCTTATGTAGTATCTGGACATACTACCTCATAAGGTATAATTTAGTGACAGTATTTCTCTTTGAAAATTCTGTAATATTTTTTAAGGACTTGCCTGGTGTGTACATGTATAGGCAATGTTGATTACCTGACAATGTACTTTTATTTCTCATAGTCATAGTATTTTTAGAAAAAAGTGTGATAGAAACTGCCTTAAAGTTGAAGACATAAAATACTTCTACAGTAAACATCTGTCATCAGTCATAATTTATCCATGTGCTCAGTAAAATAATCTGAAAAGCTGGACTATATGAAGAAGGTAGCATCAGGATTGGAAGCGGACCCATTAACAACCTGTGATATGCAGATGAGAAAACCTTGTTTGCTAAAGGAAAGAAGACTTCAAGCACTCGATGCTTTGGGTCATAGAGGAGGTAATCTCAAAATATGACAGCATTTGTTATCTGCAGACTATGAATGGCCATTTACATAGTTTTTGAATAGTAAATATTTTCCTTTATTGAATAGAAAGATATTATCTTTTGTATATACGTGCATAATTTAAAAACATAAACAGCTATTGAACGTAAGAAAAGTTGGAAGAGTTGTCCACGGCTTCAGGCTGAGACACTTGATAGGTGGACCTGAAGCAAGTATTTAATGTAAAAATGTGAATTGATACTGCAGCCTTCAATATGGACTGAGGCTCAATGTCAAGAAGACAAAAATTCTCACCACTGGACCAATCGGTAGCATCAGGATGGGTGGCGAAGAGATTGAGATTGTTCACAGCTTTAGTTTGCTCGGCTCCACGGTCAACACTCTTGGCACCAGTAGCCAGGAAATAAAAAAATGTATTGCGATGGGAAAGTCTGCGGTTAGGGACCTCTCCAAAATACTGAAGAGCAACAGTGTCTCTCTGGAGACTAAGGTGCGCCTGATACAAGCCATGGTTTTTGCAATCACTTGTTATGCATCAGAGAGTTGGACAATGACTAGGAAGGATAGAAGGAGAATTGACGCCTTTGAGCTGTTGTGCTGGAGAAGAGTATTGAATGGACTGCCAAGAAAACAAACAGATTCATCGTAGAGAGGATTAAACCAGGCTGCTTCTTGGAGGCAAGGATTCTGGGGCTTCGTCTGACATACTTTGGACATGTTGTAAGGAGAGACAGGTCTTTAGAGAGGGTCATCATGCTGGGTAGAGTGGAGGGACAGCGCAGGAGGGGAAGACCTTCTATGAGGTGGATTGATTCAGTGACTGGGGTACTCGGGATGGGTTTGTCAGAGGCAATGAGATTGGCACAGGATAGAGCATGGTTTAGGGCTGTTGTACAAAGGGTTGCTGTGAGTCACAAACGACTCGACGGCACATAACAACAACAGTGACTCATAGAATCACCTATGGCAATACCATTTCAAGTTTTATTTCATTTCAGTAATTTGTACTACCTCCTTAGAACAAAAATTCAGAACTGTTCCTTAAATAAAACAGTTAACACCTATAGTTCTCTTAGAAATAGAACATATTTTCTTCTTTAGAGTTCTAGTATTCTGATACAGTGGTCTTTAACTAAATATTGAATGTTAGCCTCATTTTTTTTCATTTTTCACTAACATGCTTTTCAAATAAATTCACTAAAATTAATTACATAACACTAGAAAATACTAGTGTGCTATCAACTATTTTAAAATGTTTGGTAGAATATTGCTACTATTTTGACTTCTTTCTATTTTTGTGCAACCAACACCATATTTACTCAAAACTTTACAACCCACACAGAAATTCTGTACCAATTAATCAGTAACTTTCCATTCTCTCTGCATCCTTTATACTTTGTTTTAAAAATTAATCATGGCTCAGAAGCAAGGATTTAGGAAATTACTTCGTAACTTTGGAGAAACTGGAGAACATCATGCTGAGTGAACTAACTCAGTCTCATAAGGACAAACACTGCATAAGACCATTGTTGTAGAACTAGAAAGATAACTAAAAAACATGTGTGAGGATCTAAGTCAGGAAGGGTGGGAGAAAAGGGGTGAGGATGGGCAGAGGAGGATAATCAGAGGGTCCCACAATTTGGTGGTGAAGCAGGGATCTGGAAAGACAGGGTAATGGGGGGACATAGTTCAGTGTTGATTAATTTTACAAAACATAGTGAAAGGCAATGACTATATGAAACAATGAATGTGAATGAAGTATAGGGTAATGTGCAATGTATATGAACCTTGTAAGCAAACCAATATAAAATAATTTTTTTTAAAAAGCATGGCTATATATATGACTAGCACTTCATAGTAGCATTTGTTTGTTCTGCGTTAAATTTATATTTGATTCTGTGATAGACATAAGTCAAAGTTTACTTTGCTTATTTTATTTCCTTCTGTGATTTGACACAAATAAATTTTTTTAACATTTATAAACATCTCCTAAAAGATAAAAGTATTTGATAATCTGTGGCATATTACAGTTCAATAACTTATCTGTGAATAAAGTTATTTTAGGTTCTTGGATAAAAGAACCTTTCTGAAACACTACATTTAATCAGTCCTTAAGTAAAACAGGGAGATCTGGTGGCCTAGTGGGTAAGAAGTTTCACTGCCAGCCCAAAGGCAGGCAATTTGAATCAACTAGCCGCAGGATTCTTCTTTGTATTATTGATTTTAGGTGTACTTTGAACAAACTCTATTTTTCATCTTTCATCCCTGTTTTCTAATGCTTTTCATTAACTAGATTTTTTTTAATATTTCTAATGAGAAAAAAAATTGTGACAAAGGCCAATAAAAAATAGGATTTTATTTTTTGAAACATAGCTCTGTGTATAGTATGATGGAAAATAAGTTAATTTTTTTATATATTCACTATGGTTGTTTTTGTTTTGTTTTTGTTTTAGACTGGTTGCCTGGCTATCCACATAAAGAGCTGCAGATATTTTACACCTAAGAGTATCCTTTCTTTGACTTAAGAACCATAGCATGGTTACTATTTCCATTTAGCTATTGCTAGATCATAACCCAGTCCAAAGCATACTGAATTAAAACACTGTTTTCCTAGCAATCACAATCGATGCATTACCTCAGTAGTACTTTTGTTCCCATGATATCACATGATCCCAACGGGAACTGTCATCAGCTGGAAGTTCAGCTGGGCTGGAATATCTAACATGCCAAGTGTTGGGTGCTTTGGCTGGGTGCCTAGAAGGATAGACTTAAGTAGGATGCTAGAATGATTGGTTCTTTCTCTCTACATGTAGTCCTAGGGATTTTAATAGTTATTTGGCATTTTGGTATTTTAATTTTTGTGTGAGAAAAATATTTTATGTCTTGGTAACTGAAGTTTTTGACACATCCTCAGATTTTACACCCTAGGTATGTTTCCTCTTTTACTTCATCTTACTCTTGGTTCTTGTCACTGCATTTTGCTGATTCAAGTGGTCACAAGGGAAAGGCCAGCTTCAAGGAGGAGGGGAAATAAACTCCGTTTTCTTATGTGGAGAGTGAGTGACACATGATTGCTAGCCTTCTGCAGTCCACCTCAGTGATCATGTAAGTTAAAGACTGTAGCCTTTGGATGATGATTTTAATTTATTTATAAGCAATAACCGTGCATCCTTTAGACATTTTAAGAAAGGATTTATTGTATACTGGTGCCTTTAAAGAAAAGGAAAGCTTATTAGATTTTTATAATGGTGTAAAACTAGTTTTGTTGGAGATTCTTGGGTATATTTTCCTTCTGAAAATAGATCTGTTAGGGAGTTTCATATCAAGAGATTCACTGATGATAATTTTGAACTTGGAAAAATAGCAAAACAGAGCAGAACAGCATAAATGAAGTATAGAGTGAACTGAATTCTAGTGTGGAACACTTTCCTTTATATTTCTGTTGTCCTAATATTGAAAGTATTCTTAAGTGACAACTTTTGCTTTTTAAAATTTCTATAGAGAAGTCATTTCAATTATATGTTACAAAAGTTTGGTTGCCTTTAAAGTTAGTATTTACAGAATTTTTCAAAGGAATTACAGTAGAGGAAAGCACTATAAGAAATTATCTCAAGGAGAATAATTTTCTTTTCCTGTGCATATTGTGCTTACCAGTGCTGGACAAAAATACTCTTGAAAAATAGGCTGGGTGTTTTCCCCCTCATTATTTATTGATCTTTACAGTTGGCTTCTGTACATACTGTAGCTGTTTGATTGATCTTGGCTTTCGACAAAATGTGGCTTAGTTTAAAGTGTATTATTACTCAGTTACATTGGAACTTGCTTCCTAAATATTGTTCTGTTTTTAGTGACTGTAAAACTATATTACAGTAGTTTGTTTGTTCGCATCACTATCAACAATGTTGTGAAATCTACAAAAATGTGTAGCTTCCTAGATGAAAACAGAGGAATAACCATCATTAACTTTGATGAAATGAAATGCTTTTCTGTACAGGTAATGTTTACAGTTCTCTTCTTTTTATATGTAGTTTCATATACTCTACCTGCTCACAGCTGACCCTCCACCAGGGTAACCAAGGCTGTCAGTGTCAGGGGAGGAGATTGCCCATCTTTCTCTTATAAAGCAATTTGTGGATTTGAACCACCAGAGAGGAATGGCCTTTGGGATAGATAGCGGTGCAGCTCTCTATCCCTTAGGCCACCAGAGTGCCTCCTATAAAAATATGTACCGATACCTGGTGGCGTAGTGAACGTCAGGTCAGGCTGCTAACTAAAAGGTCAGCCTTTGAAATCCACTAACTATTCAGAGGGAGAAAAGTGGGCAGTATTTTCCCATAATGATTTATAGCCTCTGTCTATGGAGGGTTTTTATGTATTAGAATATACTTCATGTCAGTGGGTCTGGTTTGTTTTATATATAAACATAGTTATATGTAAGGGAGCTGTGGTGGCCTGGTGGTAAGACTCTGCACAGCAGTCCTGAAGGTGCACAGTTCAAATCTGCCAGCTGCTCCACAGAAGGACGGACAGTCTCCTCCAATGCTGACTGCCTCTGAAAACCCACTGGAGTTCAGCTATGGGGCAGTTTTGACTCGATGGTACACAGCCCTCAACAAGCTATATGTATACATGAACACATATATGTAATTTTGGAGGAATTGTAGTACCTGTTTTGTTAGTATTTTTGTTGTGTAAAGACATATTTACCAATATGAGAATATATTGATTATTAAGGGAAAATTGAAAAAGTGAATTTTTATTTTTTTTAGAGAGGTACAATCTGGAAATTTGAAATTGTGGCTGTGAGCTTATTTTCTATGGATAATGATTTATTTATGAGGTGTTTTTTGAAGTCCTTAATGAAGATTTTAGCTATAAGAAGTATTTGCATTCGCTTCTAAATTCCCTGAGACCACTACCAGTTTGGTACCATGGTAGTCTATATCCTAGGCACTTGAGGATTTTTATACCAACTATTGGAGGTGATTTTAGGCTGCAAATCCACATGGACTGCTTATTGATACATCTCTGGGACTTTCTGCCTTTTTCTGTTCAGTAATGTGAATCTTCTTTACAGCATTATATCAGTGAGCTGAGAGAAATGTTTCTCCATTCTCCTAGGCAAAGCCTTTGCAAAGGCAGAGAGCCTCTGGGCTCATTGCTTCATAAGAGGCAGGTCTGGGGACACACCTTAGCCTTGTCTTTCCTGTGCCCCTCAAGGCTTTGAAATTGCTATTGTCTGTTAACTGGCTAGAAATTGCCTACATTGTCAGTATAACTTCAAGATCTATCTTAACTAGGGAGCTCTGGTGGCCTAGTGGCAAGACACTGTACTGTAATCCCAGAGCTATGCAGTTCAAATCCACCAGATGCTCTGCTGGAGAAGGGGGGGGGGGGTTAGGGTTAGGTCTAATTTGACTGTACACATAAAAATAATACAATAAAAAAATTTTTTAAAAAAGATCTATCTTAACTTTCTGAGTTTCTGCCAATATTTGGAGTTTTACATGATGCCCCTTATCGGTTCATGGATTCTTTTATGTTTTATAAGACCATATTTTCTTTTTTAAAACATTTTCTTGTTTTGAATGAAAGTTTACAAAGCAAATTAACTTTTCATTCAACAGGTCATACACCTTTGTCTGAGGACATTGATCGCAGTCCCCACAGTGCAACAGCACTCTTCCCACCTCCTCTCTCTGTTTACTGTTTCCATTGCCTCTTCTTCTTACCTTTTCCTGTCATCTGTGATTTCTCTCCAGACCAATGTTGCTGTTTTGATCTCACATGGTAAATTGTCCAAAGGACTGCAGACTTCCCTGATGGTATTGTTCACCCCTTAGGCCTGTCTATTGCTTGGCTAAAAGTTAAACGATAAGGCCGAGCTCACTTTCACACCTAACATTTTATTCAGCGTTTGTATTTTTCAGCAGCCACATTGGTTGCAATGACCTCTATGCTAAATTGCTGGGAAACTGAGCCTGTGCCCTTATCTCTCTGCTAGTACACAAGACAACAAATGAATTCCTTTATTTGTCATTTCTTAGGGGAAGTGAGCCACAAATATAACAATGGTGGGAGGGACACGATAGAAAGGCCTAGACATTCTAGAAACTTAGAATCTTGGAGTGGGAGGCATATTTCTTCCTAATTAGCAAAAGAATGTACAGATTTCTGAAGATTGCAAAATAATGGTTTGTTTTACTTAAGACTGCTTGCAGTTGAGAATTTTGGCTTGAAGCAATGCTATATGTTCTTTCAAAAGATAAAAAAAATCCAGAAGCTGAAAATAATATTGGATGTTTATTCTTTAATAATAAAGTTTCAGTAGAGAAATAAGGGTAAACTTTTGTATAAAGTTAAAAACAGTATTCAGGCAATGAGTATTTTAAGAAAGCTATCGTAACATCAGACAAAATCCTGAATGTTTCTGCTGTTAGGGGACAGGTACAAAGTTTCTATCTCTGAGAGGTAGCAAGGTTATAAAACTAGTGACATTCAAAACCTATTTATTAGGTATGTATAAAATATAATTTATGAATGTATTGCTGAAGATGTTTTATCTGAAGTTCAAAGTGCAGACTTAGCTTTTTAAAATATGTATTTTGATCTTGAGGTTCCTAGACGTCAAGATGATGCGCGGAATAATATTTACTTGGAACTAATGCAGTGTGACGCTAAAGAGAGTTATCCTGCTTTGTTAGGGACTATTCAGGTTCACCTTTATGAAGTAATTCAGGTATGTTTCAAACCAATTTTCTCACTTTGGCATTACATATTCTAATTGATAATCATTCTTTTGTAAGTCATGTATACTTGATAGGTTCCTTCCAGGTGTTATTATTTGCCTTCATATTCGTGTGCCTAACAAACAGATTTCCCTCTAGTTTTTTAAAAAAGAAAGCTCTGGTTTGTAGTACCATAATTATTTTGAAGTGTATTTTCCAGATAAAAAGTAACACAACATAAAGAAAAGCACAATTTAGTATGCTACAGTCTTTTAAACCATGACTTTAATTACAAGCTCTAGCTCACGGGTGACAACTCAGATTTAATTTTAGAGTTTTTATCCTTAGATAAGCTGGCTGTAATCTGCTTTTACATGAAGTATATGAGGTTAGACAATATTCAGGCAGAGTTTATACACAGGTTTTGTCATTATATCCCTCTTTCTCCATTTCCCTCATTTTTCAGTAGCCCTATATTTGATGGCAGTTATATATACATAATTATATAGTATATATATTCCTAAGAAACCCACTAAAAAAGTTATGTCAGCTCAGCAAGGTTGTAGAATATAAGATCAACATAAAAAATAAATCACATTTTTGTATACTTGCTATGAAGAATCTGAACATGAATTTAAGAGTAAGACTCCTTTTGCAATAATATAAAACAGAATAAAAAGATTTGGAAGTGAATATAATAAGAAATCATGCAGTTCATACTTTGAAAATTAACAAATTATTTTTGAAAGAAATGAAAAAATGTAAATAAGTGTAAAAACGTGCTTATGGCTTAGAAGCCTTAACATCATTAAAATGGCAGTATTTGAGGGAGCTCTGGTAGCCTAGTGGCAAGATGCTTCACTGCAATCCCAGAGGTACGCAGTTCAAATCCACCAGATGCTCTGCTGGAGAAGGAGGGGGCAATCTCCTCCTGTACCAGTCAGATCTGATTTGATGGTACACATAAAAATAATATAATTTAAAAAATTTAAAAAGCCAATATTTCCAAACTGATATACAGATTCCATATAATCATTATAAAAATTCCACCTTATTTGTACAACTTGACAAATTGAGTCTCAAAAATTGTAGCATTTCCAGGGACCCTGAATATTGAAACCAATCCTGAAAAAAAAAAGAATAAAATATAAAACATCTACACTTCTAATTTCAAAACTTACTGCATAGCAGTAGTGATCAGGGCAGTTCCTGAGCATAGGACTGGCACAAATATTGACATATGGATCAGTAGGTTAGGTGCCGATGTGTTGCCAGTTCTGGTACCAGTGTAGTACCCAAGATTGAAGGTCTTGGAAAGAAATAGTAAGTTCTCTATGGAAAGTTACCATACACAGATACTCACAAAAGTGAACATTAACTGGCTTTTTAATAAAAATGCAAATAACAAAGCACAATTCTAAAAGACAGCAGATCCTGTCTTGCAAATGAGAAGGAACATGTATCTAGGGTCAAAAGTTCCAGTGTTCATAGGGACTTCTCTCTAAGTTTTCTTGTCTTTTCAATTGGTGGCTTTTTCTTATTTGCAGTGAGAGGCAACTCTCTCTTCTATAGTGATGTTGTGTATTCCTGACTAGGAACTGACCCATAGCTGAACCTCTAGTGGGTTTCTAGAGGCTGTTAATCGCACAGGAGATTGCCCATTTTTCTTCTAAGGAGCAATGGGTGAATTTAAAACACATGCCTATGGGGTTGCAGCATAGCTTCTTGCTGTCAGGCCACCAGAACTTCCCAGAGCTCTATACTGTTATCCTTGTATAATTTGTAAAGAGTTCATGTCTTAGAGGAACACTGGTGATCTAGTGACAAGAAGCTGTGTTGCAATCCCAAAGGCATGAGGTTCGAGTTCACCAGTTGCTCTGTAGGAGAAGGAGGGGCAATCTTTTCGTATGTGATTAATCATGTGATTAAAAATCTACCAGAGGGTCAGCTATGGGCTGGTTCCAACTCTCCAATACACAACAATACAACAACAGCATGGTGGCTTAGTGGGTAAAGAGTTGCACGGGCAGCCTAAAGGTAGTTCAAATCTACTAGCTGTTTCCAAGGGGGAAAGGTGGGCGATCTCCTACCATGTTATTTACAGCCTCTGAAAGCATACTGGAGGGTCAGAATGAATGAGTGTGAATAGCTAATGATCTTGAGCATCTTACATGTGTCTGTTGGCCATCTGAATGACTTCTTTGATAATTGTACATGCCCTCTGTCATTATTTTGATAGGATCATTTGGTTTTTTGTTGTTGAATTGTTGAAGCTTTATTTCAGAAACCAGACCCAAGTCAGATATGCCATTAGCAAACATCAGCTGTATTTTAATAAAAGTTCCAAGACTGTATTAGTAACAGCCTTTTCAACAAATGGTGCTAGACCAACTGAATAGCCACACACAGAAGAAAGAAGTTGAGTCCTTACCTCACACTATATACAAGAATAACTCAAAATGGATCAAATACCTAAGTGTAAAAGAAAAAAACTTATAAAACTCTCAGGGGAAAACATAAAACATCTTAATATCTTTGGACTTGGCAAAGGCTTCTTTAGATATGTCACAGAAAGCATGAGCAACAATGACAAAATTGGATAAATTAGAATTCTCTAAAATAAAAAACTTTGTATCTTAAAGGTCTTTTTTAAAATGAAGAGCCAAGACAACTTACAGACTGGAATAAAAAAAAAATTTTAAGCAATACGTAATTTATAAAAGACTCGTGTCTAGACTATATGAAGAATTCTTAAAACTCAATCAAAGAAGGACCATTCATTCAATTAAAAATGGCCCAAACTTTTACTAGCCATTTCTCCAATGAAGATATACAAATGGCTGAACTTGAAAAGATGTTGAACATCATTAATTATCAAGAAAATGCAAATCAAAACTACAAGGAGATAGTATTTAATATCCACTAGGATTGCTGAAATAATAAGGTGAAAAAGTGTTATAAAAGACATGAGGAAAACAGAATTCTATATATTGCTGGTGAGAATGCAAAATGGTGCAACTGCTTTGGAAAACAATCTGGAAACCTTCAGTTCTTTTCTCAGACCTTGAGTTACTGCTGTAGGCTCTTGTCCATTCAGTTCTCTGACTTGGTGACCACATGCAGAAAGGAATGAAGTGCTGCCTGATCCAGTGCCACCATGCTGCTCAGCTGCTCAGTTGCTCAGTTGTGGATTGGACAGTGTTCCATTGTGATTCATTGACTCATTTTTCAGAAGTAGTGCACCAGTCCTGCCTGCTTTCTTCATTTATCCTTATCTAGAAGTTTTCCTGAAAACTGTTTCACATCACACCAAAATGCAACCTTCACTGACAGATACATGAAATGAACCCAGGTGAAGGATGAGAGGTTTCATTTTGAACTGTCAATTCCTCTCACAAGATTACCATTTAAAACAGCATTCTACTCTTTGCCATATACCCAAGAGAGAGGAAAACGTACGTCCTCACAGAAACTTGAACATGAATGGCTGTAATAGAATTAATAGTACCCACAAGATAGAAACAACTCAAATTCATGTCAATGAATAAATTGATAAAATATAGTGAGTCAAAACTGTAAGAATAATAAAAATATTACTCATCATTAAAAATAATGAAGTACTGATACAAGTTATAACAGGAATGAATCTTGAAAATATGCTAAGTAGAAGAAATTAGTCACAAAAGACCATGTATCTTATAATGCTGTTCTCATGAAAATCTAGACTAGGGAATCTATGTAGTGCAAAAGAGATTAATGGTTGCTCAGAGCTGGGGAAGTACATTTGAATACAAGGCACCAATTAACATACTGGATTTGTTCTAAAGCCGTGAGAATGATGTAAAATTGCACTGTTTCACCTTAAAACTATGAACCGTTTAAATGGATAAATGATATGGTATATGAGTTCTCTCTCAATAAGGCTAGTATGGAAAAATGTGATATATTGTTAAACAGAACTGATGGCCTAGAGGCAAGAAGCTGCACTGCAATCCTGAAGGCACATGGTTGGAATCCACCAGCTGCTCTGCGGGAGAAGGATAGGCAGTCTCCTCTCATGTGATTAACTGCCTCTGAAAACCCCCTGGAGAGTCAGCTCTGAGTTAGTTCCAACTCTGTGGTACACAATAACACCACCGCCTTGTATACAGTTGGAATACCACAGGCTGTATTGGAAAAGGCTAGGAAGAAATGAAACCATGTGATGCTGGCTAAACTGAGAAGATTTACGGGACAGTAGAGGTGACAAGAGGTGGTGACCAAGGCTTTTACCAAAGCTTTACATGGTTAAAAAGATTATCACAGTCCCTAATAGAAGACATTGTGTCAAAAATAAACTGATTGTGTGTAACTGTATTTAAGTAACCCCTCAAAAGAAGTGTAGAAATAACAGTCTAAGACTTCCAAAATGGGGAGCTATAGTTATCAAGTACCTTTTTGTCTAAAACATAAATGTATTACCATTTAATTCATGTCACTTGTATTTGGAACTTTTCATTTCCTAAACACTCATTATGCTCAGGAAATTGACTATTAGATTCATATGTGCACTTTAAAAAGTCAATACCCTGCTTTTTTTTTTCTATGAAATGAATGATTCTGTAAGGATTTTATAATTTACTTTTTATTTTCTAGAAAGGATGCTTTACAGAAGAATTTCAAATTTTTAACAGAAACACAGTAAGAACTTTACTAAAACCTAATAGTTTTGAGTATATGTAATATTTTCTTAATGTTTCATATAATTATGGCATATAGCCTTTATCTTTTTATTGCACTGCTAATAATTGTCTTAATTCATGTGAATGAAAAGAATGACATATTAACTTACAAAATCTGAACACACACCCTTCCAGAAAAGTCCCACCTTACTAATAAATGGCCAAAAGAAAAGTAGAAATTACTGGGTGAGGCAATAAAATGCCACCAGCTACGTGTTTATACAACCTCAGGAGACTCACTTTCTAGGTTTAGGGGTTGTCTTTCTCTTTGAAGTTTCTAAAGGGTTGGTTTTTCATTCTTTTTCTAATTTTTTTCTCTTAATTTTATTTCTTTTGTGTTATTAAAAGTAAACACACTGGAACATACACCTATTTAACAGTTTGTACATGTACAATTTAGTGACATTGATTACATTCTTCTAGTCAACCCCTCACAACCATTCTCATCCCCCTTCTCTGAACTGTTCCTCCCTCATGACCATATCTAATCTTTTGAGTCTGATCTTTGCCAGTTTAAGGATGTCAGTTGGATCTAACCTATCTAGAGAGAATTCTTAAAGCATAATGCTGAAGGCATTATGTTTAGTTTAACTGTTTTTGTTGTTGAATACCATCCTCAGAACTGACCCATTTGATGACACTCCAGTGGATTTCTAGAGGCTGTAAATCGCCTGGGAGGAGATTGCTTATCTTTCTCCTACACAGTAGCTGCTGGATTTGAACTGTGTACCTTTGCATTGGCAGCAAATTCCTTACCACTAAGCCACGAGAGATACCTAAACTATTATTTGGTTTTAAGAAGACTTCAAGGGATATTTTTGGTTAAAGTGTTCCCCTGCCCCCAATTTTCTTTTTTGTTATTATTGTGATTTTAATGAAAGTTTACAGAAAAGTTGGATTTTCATTCTTTCATTGTTGCACATTTTCCTCCCTTCCATCCCCGAGTTCACTTAAAAAAATATTAATTCATTGTTGCATAATTTCCTCCCTTCCCCCCAACCCCAGTTCACTTTGCTATTGCCTCTTATTCTGGTCATACAAATAGTGCTTAATTATATATTCCTTTTAAAAAGGTTTTTTCCTTCATCTGTTCCAATGCAGTGTTCATTATTTATCCCCTCTTTTCTTAATTTTGCCTCAATCCCTGTGTCAATACTGTTTTATAATAACAGTGGCATTATGCAGTATTTGTCCTTTTGTAACTGAGAGATTTCACTCAGCATAATATCCTCCAGGATCACCCATGTTGTGTAATATTTTATTAATTCCTTGTTCTTTCAGTGCTGTGTAGTATTCCATTGTGTGAATATAGTTTTCTATCCATTCGTTTGTTGATGGGCACTTGGCTTGTTTCCACCTCTTTGCTATTGTGATAACACAGCATTAAACATGGGTGTGCATCTATCTGTTTAGATGGCAGTTCTAGTTTCTTTAGGGTAGATTCCTGGTAGTGGAATTTCTGGGTCAAATGGTCCAACATTTTGGGAAAGCATCATACCATCTTCCATGGTAGTTACACCATTTTACACCTCCATCAGCAGTGAATTAGGGTTCCAATCTCTCCACAACCTCGCCAGCATTTGTTGTTTGTTGTTCCGTTGAACTTTGCTATTGTTATTGGAATGAGATGATATCTTGTGGTTGTTTTGATTTGCATCCGTATGAGAGCTAGGAATTTTGAACATTTTTTCACCTGTGTGTTTGCCATCTGGATGTCTTCTTCACGAAGTGTCTATTCATATCATGTGCCCAATTTGAAACTGGATTGTTTACTTTTTTCTTGGGGAGGTGGTGAAGTATTCTCTAAACTTTACATATGAGTCACTTATCAGATAGGTCATTACAAAATATTTCTTCCCAGTATGTGGGTTTCCTTTTTACCCTGTTGGGATTTTTTTTTTTATGTGCATAGGGATTTGATTCTTAGAAGGTCCTGCTCATCTATTTTATTCTCTCCTGGTTGTAGGTTTTTCAGGATGCTTGGAAGACTTCATATTGTGGATTAAGGCTTCTAGAGTTCTTCTAAGCCTTTCTCTGATGTGTATTGTCCTGGGTTTTACACCTTGGTCCTTGATCCACTTTGAGTTGATTTTTGTGTATTGTGGAGATGTAGGTCTTGCTTGAGTTTTCTACAGATGGTTTTTCATTTTTTCTAACACTATTTATCTCCAAACAAAAATTTCAAGCTCAGTGGCCCTGGACACTCTAGAGTCTATGGGAATTTGAAATTATGTTGTGTGTTTCTCTACTCTTGATCAGAATTCTTGTATGGAATTTTTTTTTTGAATTTTTTATTATCATGATCAGTAACCGTAAGTAAGAGCACTCCAGCTGCATCAGTCTTTAAGACATATCTGTTCGTTTTCCTGGCCATCCATGGGATGTTCAGTACTCTTCTCCAACACCACAGCTCAGAGGTGTTAATCCTTTTTCTATCATCCTTATTCATTGTCCAAGTCTCAGATTCATAGCTAGTAATCAGAAAGACTATGGCCTGAATCAGGTACACCTTAGTCCTCAAACTGACATTGCTACTCCTTGATAATTTGGAAGGGTCCTTAAGTGCAGATTTTCCCAGTGCAATGCATCTCCTCATTTCCTTACTACTCATACCAAGGGTGTTAATTATGGATCCAAGCAAGATGAAGCTGTCACAGTTTTAATCTCTGTCCATCCATCATGACACTGCCTATTGGTCCAGTGGTAAGAATCTTTGTTTTCTTGATATTGAAACACAATCCATACTGAAGGCTGCATTCCTTGATCTTCTCTGACAAATGTTTCAAGTTCTTCTCACTTTCAGCATGTAAGGTTGTGCCATCTGCATAATGCAGGTTCTTGATGCGCTTCCCTCCAATCCTGATGCTACACTCACATACTTTGGACATATTGCTAGGAGGTGCTATTCCTTGAGAGGGACATGATGTCAGGAAGGTTGGATGGTTGGCGAAGGATAGGAAGACTCTCAACCGGGTATATTGACACGGTGACTGCTGCAATGGGCACTTGTGTGTCAGGATGTGTGAGTATGGTTCAGGACATAACTAGGTTCAGATCTTTTGTTCATAGGGTCGCTATGTGTTGTGCTCAACTCAGTGGCACCAAATAACAATAGTGGTTTAGTAGGCACTGTTAGTTCTTCTGATCTCATGGCAAAGGAGATAGTTGTTGATAGCAAGAAGTAGCCATGCATTCTGTATCTTCCTTCTATCCTTGACTTTCTTCTTCCTCTGCTGTTCCAGGTTGTATTGTGTTGTATTGTATTATATTGTATTGTATTGTATTGTATTGTATTGTATTGTATTCTGCCACCGAGTTGACTACAACTCATAATGACCCTATGAAAAATAGCTCTGAACCCTGGCTATCTTGAGCCAATCTCACTGTCTCTGACACATCTGCCCCCATTGCCATGGTCACTGTCAATCTCATCCAGGATCTTCCTCTCCCGTGCTGACCCTCCACCCTTGCAAGAATGATGTCCTTTTCCAAAGAGTATTCCCTCCTGACAGCATGCTCAAATTATGTGAGAGGGAGTTTCAAAATCCTTGCCTCCAAGGAACAATCTGCTTGGCAGTCCATGATATGTTCAATACTTCTCTCTACCACCACAACTGAAAGGAATTTCTTCTTCTTCTGTAATCCTTATTCATTGTTCAGCTCTCATATGCATAGCAAATAATTGAGAAGACCATGGCCTGGATCAATCAAATCTTAGTCTCTAGACTGACATTGTTGCTCTTCAGCTCCCTGGAGAGGTCTCTGACAGCAGACTTGCCCAGTGCAACTTTTGATTTTCTGACTGCTGGTGCCAAGAATGTTGATTGTGGATCCAAGAAAAATGTTAACTACCTCTTCTCCATCTATCATGATGCTGCCAATTGGTCTGACAGTGAGAATCTTTGTTATCCTAATGTTGAAATACAATCCATATTGAAGACTGCAGCCTTGACCTTCAGCAGCAAATGCTTTAGATTGTCCTTATTTTTGGTGAGCAAGGTTGTATCATCTGTGTAATGTAGATTGTTGATGACTCTTGCTCCAATCCTGATACAACATTCTTCTTCATAGAGCCCATCCTCCCAAACAGTCAGTTTGGCATATAGATTGAAAAGGTATGGGGAAAGGACACAAACCTGATGCACTCCTTTCTTGATTTTGAACCATGTAATGTTTTCTTTTTGCCTAGCATAGCAAGCAATTGACAATGACTAGGGAGGATAGAAGCTTGGAAGCAGGAGTGGCATCCACTTCCAAAACAGCTAGCCTCTGGAAACCCTATGAACCTGAAGAAAGGATGAAAGACACACAAGTGTTGAGGACTTTCGTTCATAGGGTCGCTATGAGTCGCCTATAACTCGACGGCACTTAAAAACAATACCAACAACATTGAGAGAGATCAGTTGGCCTAGTGTACTGAAAGTGATGCTGCCAAGCCAAAGGTGGGTGACTTTTAATCCACAGTCCTCAGGCCTGTTTTTCATTGTTTTTGTACAGACAGTCTTCTAGGTCGTATAGCCCCAGTGTGCCCTCTTGCCGTACAGAGGTAACTTGTGGTTGCTGTGAAGCTGAACACTGATGTGTCAAATGCGTTAATGATTATCCATGGTGGACAGTATTTGGTGGAGCTTCCCAATTAAAACAAGCTTGGAAGCAGGAGTGGCATCCACTTCTGTAATAACTTTCCTCTGGAAATTCTATGAACCTGGAGAAAGGACTTTCGTTCATAGGGTCATTATGAGTCGCCTACTACTCAACGGCACTTAACAAAAACAATAAGGGAGGATAGAAGGAGAATTGAAGCCTTTGAGCTGTGGTGTTGGAGAAGAGTATTAAATATACCACATACTGCTAAGAAAATGAACAGGTTCATCCTGGAGAGGATTAGACCAGGCTGCTCCTTGGAGGCAAGGATTCTGAAGTATCATCTGGTATGCTTTCAACATGTTGCAAGGAGGGACCAGTCTTTGGAGAAGGACATCATGCTTGGGATGGCGGAAGGACGGTGCAGGAGAGTAAGACCCTCCATGAGGTGGATTGATTCAGTGACTGGGGTAATCAGGGTAGGTATGTTGGAGACAGATTGGCACAGGATAGAGCAAGGTTTAGGGCTGTTGTACAGAGGGTCCTATGAGTCGCAGATGACTTGATGGCACATAATAGCATTTCCTTACTCTATTCTGATGACTGTTTTCTGGTCTAAGTTGCACATGAACATTATCAAGAGTTTTGGGCTTCCTATTCCTCTCAGTGTAAGTCACAGTTTGTTGGGGTCCACCCAGTCAAATGCCTTTGTATATTTAATAAAACACAAATAGACATTCTTTTGGTACTCTTTGCTTTCAGTCAAGGCCTGACATTGGCAATGATATTCCTTGTGCCATTGCCTCTTTTAAACCCAGCTTGTATTTTTAGCAGTTCTTTCTTGATATACTGTTCCAATTGGGTTTTTTTTTTTATAATCTTAAGCAATATTTTGCTTATATGTTATATTAGTGATATTGTTTGATAATTTCCATACAGTTAGATCACCTATTTTGGGAATCAGAATAAATATGGATCTTTTCCAGTCAGTTTACCAGGTTGTTGTATTATGGCTTTCTTGGCACATCTGGTGAGCATGTCCAGGGCTGCATCTGTTGAAATAGGCCAACTGGTATTCCATCAGTTCCTGGGGCCTTATTTTTTTGCCAGTCTCCTTGAGCTTCTTCCTTCATCACCACTGCTTCTTGATCATAGACTGTTTCATGAAATTCTTCTGTGTCAGCCAATTTGTTTTTGACTCTGTGACTCCTTCCATCTTCATTTGATGCTTCCTAAATCATTCAGTATTCTCCCCATAGCTTCTTTAAGTATTGCAACTCAAGGCTTGAACTCTCTCTTCATATTTCATTATAATACCAATAGTCTTGTCTTCCTGAGCTGCCCTTTAAAATCTTCTGTTCAGCTCTTTAATTTCCTTTTTTAATTTTCCCTTTTTTGTGATTTCTCAGCATTATAACACAATATTCAGTCTCTTCTGACACACATCTCAGTCTTTTCTTCTTTATTTGTATTTATAATGACCTTTCACATTCTTCATCAATGATATTCTTGATATCATCATCCCACAGCTCTTCATTCAGTAGTGTTCAAGGCCTCAAAGCTATTTTTTAAATGGTTTTAAAATTCAGGTGGAATAGACTCAAGGTCATATTTTGGTTATTATAGATTTGTTTTCATTTTCCTCAGCTTCAGTTTGAACTTGCACATGAGTAGTTGATGGTCTGTTCCACAGTCAGCACCTGGCCTAGTTTTCACTGCTGATACTGAGCTTCTCTAATGATTATTTTCACAGATATGCTCAGTCTAGTTCCTGTGTAGTCCATCAGGTGAGGTCCGTGTGTATAGCCACTATTTGTGTGTTTTTTAAAAAAGGTATTTGCAGTGAATAAATAATTGATTGTACAAAATTCTATCATTCTGTGTCCAGCCTCATTTCTGTCACCAAGTGACAGGTAAAAGCAGATTTCTGATCCTTTTCCCTTATTTCCAACTTTTGCATTCCAGTCACGAGTTATTGTTAATGAATCTTGTTTGGTTGATCAATTTCTGACTGCAAAAGTTGATAGAAATCTTCTATTTCTCCCTTTTTTGGCTCTAGTTGTTGGTGCATCTATTTGAATGATAGTGGTATTAACAGGTCTTCCTTATATGTGTATGAATATCCTGTCACAACACTATATTTCAGGATAGATCTAGAAATGTTCTTTTTTTACTATGTATGCAAACCCGTTTTTCCTCAATTTTTTTTCATTTCCAGCATAGTAGATCATGTGTCTGATTCAAAGTAGCCAATGCCAATCCATTGTAGCTCACCAATGCCTAGTATTTCAATATTTATGAATTTCATTTCCTCTTTAGCAATGTCCAATTTTCATACATTCATACTTCTTAATATTTCTTTTTGCAATTAGTGGCTATATACAACTATTACTCTTCATTTTGTTTTCCAATATTTTATATGTATCCATTATCTATGTACATATATATGAATATAATATATATTTATGTGTAGTATTAACTGTAATATTTCTGAATATTTTGGATATTTTAATGACAATATATTTAACCTTAATGTAGAATATTTTAATGCTCCAGGAACTCCAAAACATTTTTGTCTAGGAGTCCCTTGTGTGAATGATTTATCAATCAATGAATTCATGCTTTGCCTTTTCTAATGTATTCACTTGTTAAATAGAAATTATCACTTTTCCATTAAAATATCATCCAGCTTAAACATAAAAGTAAATTTGCCATATATTCAGTTTATCTGCAGGATGGAAGTAGAATTTATGTTTTCCTATGGAAACTTCGGTTTTGGATTTTCACATCAGGTTAGTTCACCTCTTTGTAAAATGTGTTACAGATCTTCAGTCTCATCATACAACCTATATCTCTTTAAGGTTGATAAATTCTTTCAGTATTTCAATAATGCTACTTTTGACTAAAGAAAAATGAGGTTTTACAATTATTTACTAATACATTTCATATTAATGACATTTCATTTAAAATGTGTCTTTATTATGTAAGTTGCTTTTGTCTGTATATGTATGTACACAAAACATATATGCACAGAGGGATATTTATTTCATTACAGACAAAAAAATATTTGAAGTATTCAAGAAGCTGATGTGGATTTTTATGTCTACAAGTATAAAGATTACATCTTGGTGTTATTCAATTACTATTTTATTCTCTGACCACATATGCTTTTTTCTTCTATGTTAATTTCAACATTTGACACTATTTATACCTTTATGACTTATCAAGAGGTAATCTTTGTTCATGTCTTTAATAATCTTCTTACACTAGGATACTAAAAGGTAAATGATTGTCCCAATGACCTTTAAAATGGTTATAGAAATGTTGTACCAGTAAACATTCTCACCAAGTGTTTGAAAGAACTTTGTTATCTCTTCATATTACCATAGATTTGAGACATTTAAAAATCAAGCCCCCACCTCATTTTTAGGAAATGATCCTTATACTTTGCAAATTACTTTTCTTTTCATTTTATGTTTTTGTTGCTTTGGGTGGCTTTAACTAGTTGAGAGTGAAACCGGTGTCTATATCATTCTAATAAAAAAGTAACTGTAAAATTGTTTTTAGGATTCTTTTGTAGAATTTGGCTTGATTTAGCATTGTGATTTACAGTGTCATTTGAGTCAGAAAGAATATACAAATTAAAGATAAAAGACTTAAGTTTTTTCTTTTCCCTTCTACTTTTTACCTTTTAGAAAAAAAAATCATGAGTTTCTTTTATAAGGAATTCTTATTTGTTTCATCCCTTTTTAAATAGTAACATCTCAAACAGTAATTTCACAGATGTAATATCATATACAACAATAACCATTCTTACTGACATAAACTCCTTTTTAAAGGAAATAGAGCAAGTGTTTGTATCTTGGAGTCGATTTCTGATTCAATAAAACAGGATGTAACTGCCCCATAAGGTTTCCCAAACTGTAATGGGAGCAGTTCACCAAGAGTTTTTAAGGGAGCCCCTACTGGGTTCAAATTGGAGACCTTTCCGTTAGAAGTCAAGTGCCTATCTATTGTAGCAACAGGGCTCCTTTTGTGTAATTTAAGTCTTCTAAAACAAGAAGCAAAAATATTGCTGTGAAAAATAATAAGCTGTATAATATAAAGTCAGCTTTTAAATAGTTTGTCCTTGGAGTCTATACTTTTGAAGCTCTGTCTCACATACTTTGGGAACGTGGCCAGGAGGGGCCAGTCCTTGGAGAAGGACATCATGTTCAGAAGAGTGGAGGGCCAGCGCAGGAGAGGAAGACCCTGGATGAGATGGATTGATAAAGTAACTGGGACGACGGAGTAGGTGTGTTGGAGTCAGTCAGACTGACTCATGATGGGGCAGGCTTCAGAGCTGTTGTACAAAGGGTCACTGTGAGTCACATATGATTCAATAGCACATGACAACAACAACAATGTATATGAACTTTTCAGATCTTGAATACCTGTGTCATGATGCAGTAAAAAGAGCATAGATTTGGAGTAGATAGAACTTTTTGGCTCTCAGGTTCCCCTTAAACAAATCTCTGATCATCAGCATCAGCTATAAAGTGGGACAATTATCTACTACAATAATCTACTTCATTTCTAGTATTACTTAGAATTATAGATATAAAATGCTTGGCAAATATTAAGTTCTCAGTAAATGTTAGTTCTTTTATTTTAAAACACTGTGTTTTAGTGAAAGCTTATTCAGGAAATTAGGTTCCAATTTAATAATTCCTTTCATGTTATTTCCCGTGCTTGGAAAGGTAGATGATCATGGAGAAGAAGTCTGTCAGCAAGAGGGATTGGCGCGGTAACTGTAGCAGTGACTTACGTATGTTAGAGATGATGAGGATGGAACAGGGTAGGACAAGGTTCAGATCTGTTGTTCACAGGGTTTCTAGGACACCTACATGACAACAGTAACAACAGGACACATTGCTTAGTTGGATTAGTAACATTTTTCATCATGTGTCAGTATTCTTTTTTTAACATTTTATTTTATTAATTTTAAAGAACATTTACAGAGATTTTGGATTTCCATTCATTCATTGTTGCATTTTTCTCCCTGCACATCCCTCTCCCCCGCCCCCCAGTTTGCTCTTCACTTTAAAAAGTTAAAGAAAAATTCCTTCATTGGTATATAATCCCCCACCCCCACCCCAAGTACACTCCACTATGCAACCTTCATTCTGGACTCTTGTCATTACCATAATACCCAATTGTGTATCGATTTTAAACTGTTCTCTCCCTCATCTGTTTCAATGCAGTGTACATTATTTATCTCATCTTAGTTTCACCCCAACTATGACGTCAGTTCTGTTTTACAGCAGTGGCACTATGCAGTATTTGTCCTTTTGTGACTGAGATATTTCACTCAGCATAATGTCCTCCAGGGTTACCAATTTGAAGAATAATGCATGAGTTCCTTGTTTTTCAATGCAGCATAGTATTCCATTGTGAGAATATACCAGAGCTTCTCTGTCCAGTTGTTTGTTGATGGGCACTTAGGTTGTTTCCAGCCCTTTGCTATTATGAACAAAGCCACAATAAACATGGGTGTGCATTATGTGTCAGTATTCTTAACATTACTGTTCTGGTTGTTCTGTTTCCATTAATCTAGCTCCTTTGTTTTCCTTACCTTCTGCTCTTTGATCTGGAATAAATGTTTACCATTTGGTTTCGTTTAGGTGATTATTTAGAGCACAGTATCTTGTATAATATTATGAGCCAAGCACTGTGAAAGATAACCTTAGTGAGTTGTTTGAATTTCAGATTTAATGTGTAGAGTTATGGTTTAGACGCCTCTACTGCTATAGTAAGTCTGGGCTTTTTAAAAGACTTACAAAAAAATTGAATTAGTTTGAGCTTTCTCCCATCCTGTGAAGGACTGTGTGTTAAGTCCCATTTGAGAATGGTTGGTGGTGGTAGCTGGATACCATCTAATTCTTCTGGTCTCAGGTTAGAAGAGGTTGTGGTTCATGATGATTATTATTTGTGTGCAAGAGTTTGTTCTTTGTGCTTACAGTTTCCTTTGTTCCTATCCTTGTCTCTCTCTCTCTTTCTCTCTGTCTCTCTCTGTATAAGTTCTTATGTGCCTTAGATTCAAGTATGGCTCAGTGACCCTATGAACAACAGATCTGAACTCTGTCCTATCCTGTGCCTTCCTCATCATCTCTGATATACTTAAGCATACTGCTGCAGTCATTGCACCAGTCCATCTAGTTAAACATTGTTGCTGTGTACATTCGAGTCAGAACTGAGCCATAGCTGACCCTCCAAGCAGGTTCTGAGAGACAGTAAGTCACATGGGAGGAGACTGTCCGTTCTCCCAAGGAGCCGCTGGTGGATTCGAACTGCATGCCTTTGGGATTGCAGTGCATTTTCTTACCAGTATGACACCAGAGCTCCCAAAAGGGACTATAAGTTGTATATAGTTCTCTTTTCTTTTCTTTTTTCTTTTCCTCTCCTTCCCTCCCCTCCCCTCCCCTTCTCTCTTCTTTTCTTCCTTCCCCTCTTCTCTCTTCTTTTCTTCCTTCCCCTCCCCTTCACTCCCCTCCCCTCCCATCCCCTTGTCTCCCCTCACCTCCCTTCTCCATCTATATCATGTAAGGCCAATTCTATAGCCCTTGGGCACAGTCATTTTAGAGTGAACTGTAATGGTAATTAAACAGCATTAAATGTATGTTGTCCTTTTCTTCAGTTAAAACCTCTTCAGAAAATTATTGAACCATCCATGTTTATGAATATTGCACCACCTCCAGAAAGAACAGACCCTGTATCGTAAGTGTTTTAAATTCTTATTAGCAAAATCAGATAATGTGACAATGTAAAATTTTGTACATGTGATGGAGCATTTTGGGTATCCCAAGATAGCCCTCCTGACTTCCTTCTGCTACAGGCATTTAAATAAAGAATTAGCAGCAATCTCTATAATTAAGAAGTTCCTGCAGCCTGGGAGTCAGAGGAAGCTGCCCCCTGATCAGCACTATGTTGATGTTTTCAAACATAGTTTACAGTGGTAAAGGCCAGCAGGTCTTTGAACAGCACAAATCATCTCCCAATTACCTTGGCACAAGCCGACTGTAGTGAACATAAAATAAAAGCAGACTGTTATTATCAGCCACTCAACCCAAACCAAATCCATTGCCATAGTGTCAACTCCTGCTCATGGTGCAGCTCCTATAGTGACTCCTCCTAAGTGCCTGTATATGCTTCTCATAGTGACTCAATAGGACGGAGTAGAAATGCCCCATACATTTTCCAAGGCTGGAAATCTTTATGAAAACAGACTGTCTCCTCTTTCTCCCAAGAAGAAGCTGATGGATTTAAACCACTTGAGTGCTTAACCATTGTACTACCAAGGTTCTTTCTATCAAAGACAAACACTTATGAAATGATATATAAAAGAAAAAAATATATTGACCATTTTTTCTCATTCATCTATATTGATTCAGTAGGCATTTGTGAGTTGAACTACAAGTCATTTGACACCAGAAGATCAAGCACCATTTATGTTTATATGTGCAATACTCTGATAAAGAATAATTGATGCTCGGTCCCTGTCTTGAAGTAACTCATGGTTCAATGCAAAGATAACATGTTAAAAACAAAAATCAAGTATAATGCGGTTGGAAAGAGCCCTCCTTAGAGATGAATAAACACTAAGAAATATGAAGTAAACCAACAAGTGTTTAACACCTTTTGAGGAATTTGGAATGAGGTGGGGAAATTCTGTTAATTATTGTTGTTATTTTTAGGTGCTGTGGAGTCAACTGTGGTTCATAGCAACCCTGTAAATCACAGATCAGGAGCTTGCTGTATCCTATGCCATTTGTACTAGTCTACCATGCTTGCACTTGTCATTATAGGCACTGTGTCCATCCATCTTCTATTCTTTTCCTGATCTTCGACCTTTCCCAGCATGATGTCTTTTTCCAAGAACTGGTCCCTCCTGATAATCTGAATACCTTTGCAAATAGAAAAACAGATTTTTAGTACTTGCCTTTCTCTCCTTTCTTATCTTTGCTTTCCATGTACTTAGTAGCAAGAGTACTCAACAGAACATTTTTCTCAATATTTCTATCCTTATCTTCTTTTCTAAATCATCCTTTGATGGTCCAAGATAGATGAGTTGAGCTAGCAGTTTAAATGAGAGAAGGATTCACCACAAGTTTTAGAATATACTTTTATATACTTCAGTGTGTAACCTTTTTACTGTTTTGCAGGAATGTTATTGTACCACAGTCAGTGGCATATCCGGCATTCTTATCCCCAGACCTGAATGTTACTGTTGGGAAGTCAGTTAGAGCCACCAGTAGATCCAGCCAGCAGTCTGCTGTGAGACTTGTAAAACTTCAAGATCCACCTCGAGAAAGGTGAAAAAGCTTAAAAAGCCTGTGAAGTCATTAAAACAGATTTCAGACCTCGTTGACCAGTAAGATTGATGTTGGGATTAGTAGAAAAGTAGGTATAGGGCATAGGAAATTATTTCTGACCATATAGGAATTAGTTTTGTACCATAGATGTTGATGGAGCTATTTCCCTTTTATAGAATTAGTAGAAGTCAGATTCAGTCCTCTTCATGTTGCCTATACTCATATTACAGTGACTAAGAGACTTAAGAAACTTTGCCATGTTCTGTGCTTGGTAAGTATTGGAGCTTGAAACTGGAGGTAGGTTATTGGAATCCAGACTAAGGAAAGACAAGTCTTGGGCATTAAATGGCCTATAACCAGACGATACCCTACTAGTTCAACTGCTTACCATATCCTTCATCACTAATTGTTATGCCACAAGCTTGGAAGAGAATGCCAAGAGACTTGATTTTTCTTCTTTCAGCCTATTCATTTTGTCCAAAACAGAGGAGCAGGAAGGCATTGGTTTAGAGTTGGCCTTGGCTCTAGCTGTGATGTAACTGCTTGGGTTGTTGATGGAGCTGGTTCTGGAGCTTCCCAAGAAGCTTCTTCAAGCTCTAGAGCTTCTTCTATCCTTAAAGGTGGAACTTTAACGAGAGCAGATTGTAGAGATTTCTCCAAAATTTACTGTTGCGCTTCCCTTGGAAAGCATGGTGGAATTTCCTCTAGAGTTAATTGTGAAGATTCTTCTAGAGTTGATGATGCAATGTCCTCTAGTGTTGACTGTGGAGATTCTTCTACAATTGATGGTTGAGTTTCCTTTAGAGTTTTGTCTGGAGTTGATTGCAGAGCTTTCTCTAGGGGTTATAATTTGGGTTCTGCTAAAGTTGATTATGAAACTGCCCTTAAAATTAAGGCTGGAGCTTCCTCTGTAGTTGATGGTACAGCTTCCTCTAGATTTGAGGATGGAGCTTCAACTAGAACTTCCTCCATAGTCAACAATGGAGCTTCTTCCAAAAAAGAGTTTTGGACGTTGCCTCCTAGCAGGCAAGTCCACAACCCCATTCCCCTACATGAACTACCTGGCAGGAGCATGAATGTTGGCAGGACAGACTATGGTATTCATCACCACCCAACCGGGCCAGCTACCTGGCCCTAGTTCCTCCTCCATACCACCCGGCACAAGCTCGAATGGCAAAAAGATGGAGATCTGCATGTACTTTTTAAAAAGTTATTACTTATTTTAGTGAAAGTTTACAGAGACTTTGGATTTCCATTCATTCATTGTTGCATATTTTCCTCCTTGAACACCCTCCCCCCATTTCACTTTTCTATTTGAAAAGTAAAAGAAAAAAAATTATTTCATTGTTATACAATCCCCCTTTCCCTGTCCATTCCACTATGCAGCTTTCATTCTGTACTCTTGTCATGACAATAATACCTAATTATATATTCCTCCTAAAGAGTTCTCTCCCTCATCTGTTTCAATGCAGTGTACATCATTTATCCTATCT